TGACTGTAAAGTTTGTATCTGTTTCTTTTCTTTTTTTCCTAAGTGGGTGGGGAAAATACCTTATAATAGATTATTAAATCTTAAATGGCTGATGCAGCTTGGCAATAAGCATCTTTACATGGAAGAATGTTGTTTGAAATAAGTATGTTTAGTGTGTTCACTACGTGGATATATCACAATTATTTATTCAGGCGATCATATCTTTTAAACAAAACAGCAATCTTCATATAAGAATGATTTATTTACCTGTCCTAGTTAGAGCAGCTGGGACCAGTTCATCACTGTGTGGGTGTAACCCAAACTGTGTATTCTACACCCTCTATGTCATTTCCCAGGAACTGTTAACAACAGACCATTTGCAGCAGCTGTTCAGAGCACACCTGACCCCTCAGGCTATAAGCTGGATGTTAGGAAGCCTGTGAGATAGGAGGATGTTCCTATTCTCACACCAGTGACTCAGGTGTGATGACTCCCCTCCAAGGAGTCATTAGCACCTCCACATCCAGCCTGAGGGGTCATGTCTACTAATGGGCCACCAAGGATTCCAAAAATATCTCATGACTCACAATCACCCATTGTGGAATTCCCCCCCTTGGGGAGGTGCTGGCCATTTCCACTCGAACCTGAGTGTATATAATCTTGGGGTCTTGGGACTTCTGGGACCACTCGTCAGATACAGAGGAGGACCAGAACCTCGACCGGACTGCAACCACCACCCTCGACCAGATTGCAACCAGCACTCTCACCAACAGGTCCTTCTTTCCTTTTACTTTGGACTCAGGGGGATCACATGGGGCTCAGCACGGGAGCCAATGAACACCACTCTGTTCGTGCCCCAGGGTGCTAGGTTATACATCTGGGTTTTGTGGGTTAAAACCAATTGTTTGTCCATATAATTGTATTTATTGTATTATTTTTACTAAATTGTAACTCCAACTTGTAATCTCCTTTGAGTTGGGTTCATTTCTCCTGCTGGTTTACCTTTAAACCAGCACATTACCCTAGAGACTGGAAAAGCTCTCAGGGAAATGTATATTTAGACATCTCCAAAAAGTGACTTATTTACCCAGTTCAATACATTAAATCTGGAGATTAGATGATTCACCTGACAGACATCAAGGCCTCCCCTGGAACTGTTCCATTCTGATAAGCAAATGTGCATTTCATGCCTGCTTACCAGGGAAAAATAACTGTATTTGCACAATATCTTGTAATGACTCTAAAGAGGTGTTTAAACCTCACTAGCATTTTCAACCCCCTACGCAAAAACCAAACAAACACAAAGACAGTCAATATTGTCTCTATACAGTAGGGTATTCAGCTATGATGGGACTTTGATTCAGGGTTGGTGAGCATTTATATCTCTGAGGCATCTGCTGTCTTCAGTCATTTTGTCTTCAGTTTGGAGCAGGCAGTCTACAAAGAAAATGTGCTTCTTAAAAATGTAATTGAGTCCTTTGTCGTTTAGGGTATTCTGACTGAGAGCACATGGCTGCTACTCATGTAAAGGAAAGCAATATTTCTACTAAAGATAGAGTTGTTTATATTGAAAGAATGCTATTCCAGGCTGTCTTTTCAAGGTGGCTTGAAAAAATTATGTTAAGTGCAATAATTAGGAGGAAGGGAAAATCAGTGTCTTAGTTTAGCATGGGAAGCTAGATCACCCCTACAGCCAGAGCTTATACTTTTCCCAGATGGCTATATTTCCCCAATGACAAACTCAGTACTGATTTTTTTTCCCAGCTCTCTAGAATTTAGACAGGAAAAGAAAGGACAAAAAAAAAAGACAGAAAAGAAAAAAAAATGTGACAAGAATTCAGACAAACTCTATTGGTTCTCTTTTTTCCTCCTTATGTACAAAGGATGAATGCCAATGGTTTGGACACCTCCAGTAGGAAGGTCAGGAGTTCCAGAGCATCTGAGTGGAAGAATGTGGAGCCTGATTCCAGAGAAATATGAGATGCTTTGGTAAGCAGCAACAGGGTGGCAATTTGCATAAGAGACTGAAGATAATATTGATACTGTCACTTTCTGGAAATGGCAAACCATTTTTAGAATTCTAAGTGGAAACTATTCAATTTTATTGAGCACATTATGGGATATTCAATGTAGAGGCTGGAAACTGAAAGCAGCAGGAGAATCAAAGGAGTACAAAGAGACAGGACCAAAACAAAAAAGCTAAGTAAAGATGCAAAGGATACATTGCTATCAAATTTTCCACTCACCAAGGTTTCTCCTTCGGGACCCCTAAGGAGACAATTTCACACATTGGGGAAACAGGGGCATGGGTATGGGAAAAGCCAGATTTTCAGAATGAGTTGAAACACAATGAAAATGGGACAAAGTAAAATGGTGTACGTTCCCTTGGCTTTATGACTACATTAGATGCAAGCTTTACTCCACAAGAGGCACTCTGAATTACTCTCCTCACACAGACTTACATGTCCTTCTGTTCCAGTGCACCACTTCTTCAAACAAGCTCTTCCTTTTCTTTTTCTGTCTCCATCTCAGTACACACTACCAACTTGCAACACTGTGGATGTCCTCTTTCAAACTTCTCACTGCTGGGGGTTCCAGTTTTCCCACTATGGTTATCTAGTTATCATAGTTATCAGAGTCATCATGGATGTCCAAACAAAAAATATGGAGGAGAAAAGAAGTCCCTATACTAAATTATGGTTTTCAATCATGTAATCGTACTATTTTGCTCCTATAAGACATAACACTTTTCATTCAAAGACCTCTGAGCTTCTAACTGACTAATTAAGTTACAAAATGTCCCTGTGATCTAGGAAAGTATTGAAATGGGTGAGTAAACTAGTACAGATGAGTAAAGTCATTAGTCAAGATGACTAACAGATGAGAAATGTACTAATAGCGAGTAATTGCGGTAAAAGAAAATGAGCTTCAAATAGGTTAGCATAGTGATTTTTAGAGGATATTTCTGAACACCTGCCCTCTTTCATATCCAGCAGAAGCTGTGATAGCTCAGGAGTGTCTAAAAACAAGACTAGCTCTGGCTTACCTAGGTATATTAAGAGGGACAGAAAAGATACTTTTGAAACAAAAGTGTGTATGTGGCATAGGTACACAGGGCTGAATGGACCACCTGAATAATAGGCTGAACTGAGTCCACATACCCACCTATGTGGACAACCACAGAAACTAGGTTAGCCTAGGAGTCCCTACAGACCATACATTACTCACCACCTGTCTTCAATGTCACCTGTCATTTTAGATGCTACTGGCACAGAAGCCTCTACTGAGTGGATTTCAGTGGTGTTTGGCTCCAATGAATGATTGCCTTCCCGTTTAGACATCTTTACTGAAACCACACAGGGAGGCTGCATTGTTCTGACCAAGACAACCATGGTTCTATTCAGTCATCCCATGCTAAGTTTTCCTGCACTCTATGGCTCACCAGCACCTTCTCAAGAAGTAAAAGGAGAGAGGAGCACCAAGAGACAGTATCATTTACTTCCCCCGTTGAGTAGTGAGGGTACCAAAGGGCTGATGGACGCAGAGTAATGCTTAGGTAAGACTGACAACTATTTCCTCCTGCTTCATACACATAACCAGCACCCACCTGTTTTCCTCCCACTCAGAGATATTTTTGAAAGCTTCTTCTAGCAAATTTCTGCACCAAAATTAAACCCGTATAGCAGTCAGGCTTACTGCCGTGTTCCCACGTCAGCTGTGTGTCATGACAACAGATGATAGAAATGCTGCTTATTCAGGCTTAGGGTGCATGTGTTGGGTTTTTTTTCTTCTTTTTTCTGTGTTTTTTTTTCTTTCTTTTTTTTTTAATTTTAATAGCTTTAAAAAGAACTCTGAACAAAAGTGCTTGCTCCATGATGCAGCGCTGAGCTAAGGCACAGAGGGCAGGTATACCTGCCCACATGCCAACAGGCAAAAATAAGTAGAGTGGGTGAGGTTTCCTGTGACTCTGTGGGGGCTGAGGGAGAAATACTTTGAGGAGAAAAGGAGATGACAAGACAAGGGAAAATAGAGAGGCAGAAGCAGAAGTGCTCCCGCTTCACCCCACTCCTTGGCCCTGCATCCCTCCCCTGTAGGCCTTCAGCAATGGGGCAGCTTCATGCCCAACACCTGGGTGTCCCTGTACTTCTCCATGTTCTAAAGAAGGCCGAAACCCCCCTTCTTCGGGGTGCTCCTAGGCAGACTCCAGCCTGAACCACCAGAGAGACCCTCCCTGCCTCACCCTGGCCTGCAGTGAAAAAAGGGCATTTTGGATTTCCAGGATGGTAAATCTTGCTCTGCAGACATCATCTGAGTCATTCCATGGGAGTAAAGCACTGCTGAATGAAAGTCTCCTCACATGAAACAGTGTTGTTCCCACAAGACATAATTTCTCCCAAGACAGACCTGGAGATACTCCTTTCTACTCAACAGCTGAACTCAAAATTTTTACGTCTGCCCTTGTTTTTGGTGTGAGTTATTTGTTTGATTTTGGTTGGATTTGGGGGTTTTATGCACTGTTAGGTTCTAAAGGAAGAAAAAGAAACAAACCTAGTAAAAGCAGGGTCACAGATACTTTAGTATCATCCTATGTAAGGGCAGTCAGAAGCTCAGAGAGCAGGCCTTCTCCAACTGCAACTGCTGCAGTTCACAGCTCATACCTTAGTAATCATCACTTTCGTTTCTGTTTCACAGCATCACAAAAGACAGCAAGTAACCCCTGAGCCAAGCAAGAATTTAAACATATCTTTGAGGCCTTCCCCATTTAGAAAATCGCTTGTGTCTGTGTTTGATACTAAGGGCTGCTTCTGAATATAAATGCTTCCCTGAATCAGGGCTACACAAGTATCAGAAGCTTAGATCAAGGAGTTGATCTGTCCAAATCAGACATTAGAGGCATGATGAAATGCTGCAGATCTTCTCTTTAATGAAACTTAGTTTATGAAAACCCTTTAATAAAGCTGCAGTGAGTATATTTACATTCCCAAAAGAGAAGAGCTGTCTTGAAACAGAGAAAAAATTACCACAATTAATAATATTCTGATATTCTTCATAATGCCAGTAGATTGCAAATTTTTGTTGAGCTGTTCATCATTTTGAATTTCCATGGCTCCCTTTATTCCACAATCACATCTTCACCCGCTGAGGCACTTTAGGGACTAAAATTCATTGCTGCATATTAAAAATAGCAAATGAATCTCATTATTTCTTTTGTATGTCCCCAGTTTATTCAGCATACAAAAGACAAAATCAATACCATCCTGCCTGAGGAACAGGGTTATTTTGGGTTGTTTTTTTTTTAATCCTGCAGATTTTTGGCTTTACTCCTGAAACTGTGATGCGCTGCACCAATATATTTTCACTCTATTCATTTTTAGATCATCTGCATTTTGCTGTGCTAATCCTGGATGTTTAATATCAAGCAAAATAGTATTTATATCCCATTCATCTCTTTCTCTAGCATCTCCTGTGTATCTGCATTTTCATTTTCCATTGCCAAAAATCTGAGAATTCAGAAATATTGAGAAATTATTTTCTTTTCAGGGGCACAGATCCAAATAAGCACTTACACTTAAGCTTATGGATAATTTAAGGTAAACTTGGTCTTGAGGAGCTGAGGTGCTTCCTTGAGCTGAGACAGACAGAGGATAAAGAAGGGAAGGGGGTGCTCCTACAGGGTCTACCTTTTGGGGAGAGCTGGGTCCCATATACCCAGATAGAATTACTAGAATTTGTTTGCCTTCGGTTTTAGAAATGGAGTGTGGTATTTCCTTTCCTTCCATCTTTTAGCACTTCCACAGTTCCCTACTGGTTTCTAATAGTTGTAAGTGACAGAAAATTATTCAGGAAACAGCATCTTTAACACCTCAGGATGCGTGTCATCCAGGTGACCCATATGCGTCTAGATTTTTAATATCTTTGTTCCCATTCCTTTTTTTTCCCCCTAGGTTATTTCTTTTGCATTTACAGCTTCTTTTTTTCCCCATCCACTTTGTGTATTATTTTTGTTCAGATGAATGCAAAGCAAGTTCAGTGTTTCAACCATACTAAGTCTCTGTTAAAATTCCATCCCAATTTATTAAGAGATGGACTTTCTACCAGGTACTAAGTACTACTATTTCCTCAGCTTACTGTTACAATCCTTTCTATTTGTCCTGATGGAGGCAATCCACTTTGCTTTTCTCTTTTCTCTGAAATCATCAGTTGCCTAATTACTCTATATACATGGATTCTTGTATTACTCAACTACTATTCACTGGTTTGGGTTATTTGATTTTATTATTCTTGATCCTGAACCATTAGACTTCCCATTTTATGACAGAATTCTTTCTAGTAAAACTTTTTTCATATGTTTTACTCTTTGCTTTAATTTTAAGGCAGAACAGAAAATACAAAAAATACAGTTTTTCCTTCTTTCACCATTTCTTCTGGGACTTTCCCCTAAAATGTGAACAGACTTTTCCAGTAAAGCAAAGCAGATGTTTTGCAATACCTTTCACAGTTATAAGTCTCCGACAAGCTACATATTGTACATGTGTCCTGTGCTGCAAGCATTCTATGAGTATGTTTTCTTAACCAGTCTCAATTAAGTTAATAGGAATATGTATTGCAGTAAACTAAAATTCTTCCTGCTTGGGAGAATACAAGCTTCTCTTTGCATTTCCATATATATTTCTCCTTTTAGTAAACTGATTACAAGGAAACCATATGCATACTTTCAGTGCATCTTGTGATGCAATTTGCAAGGATGTGGGGTTTATTTCTTTGATTTCTACTAACTTATGACTCAGGTAGCTAAGCGATGTGTCTAAACTCTAACTAAATGTTTACGAATTTGAAAAGAAGTGGAAGCCTAATATGAACTTATATTAAATTTATCTTGAGTGTACTTCAGACGCAGTACCTGATTGCATCCCAACCAATGTACCTGAAGTACAGTCATCCTTGAAAGATAACATCTTGACTTTTTCTTCCTTCAGAAAATACAAACATTTTCAGTTTGCTTCTGTTCCCTTTTTCTTCCACTGAGGCAATGTTTGTTCTTTCTATAAAATGGAACCAAACAAGGCTATTATATGAGTCATCAGAAAAGAGCAGCAGCAGTAGATGGTCGCTGATGGTGATCAGTCTGAATTGCTTACTGCCCCCCTGCTGATCCCTTGGAGACTTTTGCATCTAGAGGACAACTGGGACTTGTCTGGGCAACAGCTTTTGTGGCCATGAGACAATAAGCAAAACCAGTTTTACCTGAGAACTGTTTGCATTTCCAAAACACTGCAAGTCTAACATTGTAGACTACTTCCTTAGCTGATTGCAAAACATCATACACTAGTAACGGCAAGTGCAGGTTCTCCCTACCAAGTATAATACAGGATACATCCCTAGCTAGTCCACAATACACATATATTGCTAGATGTTAAGAGATGTCACATTGCTGCATCAAAAGGCTTCCTATTGTCCTTAAGTTGATAGTTCAATCAATTTATCATCAAGCAGCATAAGCACCCTTCCTGCTTTTATCTCACTATGAAAGAAAAAAAAAAGAGCAGATGCATGTGGCCGTAATTCTCATATCCCATCACCTTTTTTTTGTATGAAGAAATAGCATAATATCAGAACAGTCATAGGCAAAGAGAACGAGAAAAGAAAATTCAGTCTCTTTGAGATTTTACCATGCAGAAAGTGTCTTCTTATTTCTCTGCAACAATTCAGTACTGCCATCTGAATTAGTTAGAACCTCACATCCTTGTACAGTTGGGCATCTGACAATAGCTGGAGTAAAAAGATTTTGAGGCACACGTCATCAACACATACATAAAAAATTAAAAAGCCTAAACAATTCCAAACAATGCAAGGAAATTACTGAACTTAAAAAGTATTGAGAAATGTGTTCCCCCTCTTGAATCAAATGGCAGTATGAAAGACATTCAGCAGACCTCAGCAGCTTACACTACAGAAAGCTTGTCGTTCACGGATGTGTTCCGCAGATTCTACTAATCAGCAAGAAAGATTTGTTCGTTCTGTATTTTAAAACAGAGGGAAGGGGTAATCACAATATTGAAGCACTACTTTCAGGTTCCTAAACAGTAATTAAACACAGCAGTAGAAGCAAATTAACAACATTTAATGCACGTAACAAGTCGTAACAGAGAATTTCGCTGACCCCGTTAAGCGACGCGGCACAGGCCTCGAGTAGCACTGCTACTGCAGCCAGGGCGTTCGCACGGCAACAAGAGCTGGGATCCGCGGCTGCCCGGGACGCCCTGGAGCCACCGCCCCGCACACAGGCGGCGGCGGAGCGCCCTCTAATGGGGAGTGGGGAAAGCACCGCGGGGCCTCGGGCTGCGGGGTGGGGGGACTGCGGGACTGCGGGGGCTGCGGAGCCGCGGAGCCGCGGGGGACGCGGAAGCCGCAGGCTGCTGCTGCAGGCTTGTTGGGGCTGCGGGGAATACGGCGACTGCCGGTGAGGGACACTCCTCCCCCGCCCCGCTCTGCCCCCCGCCCCGCCGGCAGGAGACCATCGAGGCCTTACTTCGCCCCTAGCCTGTGCCGAGCAGTGCTTGTTTATCCTCCCGTACAGGGAGGGTGGGAAAGTGCCCTTGAAAGGGAAGATTTTGCAGCACTCTGTGATCTCCAAGGGATTTTTGGCAGGTTCTCATCAACTTGGGGAGCCAAGAACATTTTGTCTCTGCATGTCACATGCTTCCCTCTTGTTTTTGATGCCGTGTGATCTCAGGGGCCAGTGCTGTCTTGGGGCATCACAGGGGGGGTGGTGGCTTCTACAACAGTCGGGTCCCAATTAATGGGGAGGGTAAGGACAAAAGTCCAGGGCACAGGGATGCTTGGCAGGATGGAGGCAGTAGGGATGGGGGTGACTCCGGGTGACAGAAATGTTGACCCAGCTCAGCCTCTGGGTCTTTGGGGAAGCAAGAGACATACTTGGAAATTCTTCTGTTATGAGAGACAAAAATTCCAGTACGAAGTTATCAAGCATAGGGTAAAGGGCCTGGCCAGGCATTTTAGCAGAAATTTGTAGCTGTGGCAGTCAAAACAATACATTCTGGGTCAATAAAAAGGGGTTCAGCAAGAGTCACCTGCTGGTGCAGGCCCTCACCCCTCATCAATGCAGGCACCTACAGAGGCCAGGGGTTGACTCCATGCCCAGGGCTCAGGAATGCCTCACATCACTTGACAGCTTCTCTTAGCCAGCAGGGATGAGCCTGTCATCCATGGTGACGCACCATCATCCTTTGCTGAAAGTCCTCAAGTCTACCGTGGCACTTTGGCCATGCACCAAGGCGTACCCTCAGTCCGAAATGCACATCTTCTGGAGACATAGCAGACACCAAAAGCATCCTCAATGCACCTAAAGGAGAGATGAGAGGGAGGTAAGGGGTGAAAGCAGGTCCACATCTCACTGTATCAGCTGGACTCCACGCTGTTATCTGCAGGGGCCAGCAAGGGGGAGAGGAAAGACAGAGGCTGGTGTCACGTACACCCTCCTCTGCTCATCCTCAACCCACAGCTCACACTACAGGAGGGATCATGCTCCTGTGGGCACCAGTGGTCTAGGAAAAGCAGCTTTCACCCATTTTGTGGGTAAAAATGGAAGAACCTGGAGAACAAAGGCTATTATTAATTCCCATCTGTTGAAAGGAGACTGCAGCTGTTTTGAGAGGTTTTCCTGCAAGCTATGCAGATCTGCTCAGAATTTTAATGGTTGTTTACCAACCAAAGCATGCCACTGAGAGAGCAAGACGTTTCCAAGCAAACACGGTGTGAACGTCATTTCAGCCTGGAAATAAACCTCTTCTTTCTTGCAAACATTTTTCTAGATGAGAAAAGATGGTTTTGTATTTCATTCTTTCACTTTTCAGCTGTTCTTGTTAACTCATCCTTTCCCATCTAAGAAGCATGCAGAAGAAGAGCTATCTTGAAATATGCAATGCATTTTTACACACACAAAAAGCCTTGTTAACCCCAAACATTCTGTGTGGTCTCTGTGGGTAGCCCCATCAGCAGTTGTAGTAGTATGTTCCGGTAAAACTAGTATTTGACCACAGAGCCTAGCAAGCTCTGAGGAAAACACCAGCATACAAGAGATTAAAAGAAGGGGAAAATGAAAAGGCTTTGTTATATTCTGGGCAATGACAAGACATATGGCAGGCTTTACATTTTCTGCAGTGGTCATAACTTCAAGAGGATTGTTATTGCTAAGAAATTAACATGTCTTTAGTAAAACTCTCTGGTGCATGTTATTTATATCAGGAATTAAGTCTCTGCAATCATGCCTGTGCTTTATGGCTATAACTATAAGCCATGCTTTTGTGATATTAATACATGCAGTTTGTCTGTGACATATATATTGTACATAGCTGAAAGAAGCACTAGAGAAATGCCTCAGATAGATACAAAAAAATGAAAGATTTTTCACTACAAGACATTGGCAATCCAAGCACTTTTCCTTTATCCCAGTGGACCTTGAACTGTCTGACCTCCAGAAGGTATTTACAGCTGAAATGACAGTCCCTGAACACATCCTAGCATTCCTGATATCGCTGCTGTAATTGGGGGATGGGAAAGATCCACTATCACCCTCCATTTAGCCAAGAAGTTATGAGCATCCAGCATTTAGAAACAGCTATGCCTGAGAAACTGAAAAGACGAGAGGGTTAAATAACATAGTAAGTGGTCACCAGGAAATGATCAGGAAATTAATATGACATTGAGATAGTGCTAAGGAGAGGGTTGGACAGCCTGCTGCTGTTCCACCAGGTTATGCAACTGAAAATATTAGTGAGAAAATTAAACTATTAATCTTTCACTAAGACAGAAGCGAAAAGCAATCTGGACAGTATGACCTTCTAATCTCAGTTAAGTCAACACATAAACAATAAAAATGGACTAATATTTCATGGAATTTTGTTTTAATGACTGTAGCGGTTCAAGTTACCATGGGATGTTTTCCTGTAATATGATAGAATCCCACTAAATGGTCATTATTTGACTTCTGGTAATGGAGACACTAAAGGTGTCCGTGTATCTTGTGTTCTATTACAGGAGTCCAAAAGGTAGATTAGGCTACTGAGATGGGTTTCATCCACATAGACTTGAATTTAATCTCCCGTAATAAAAGGTAACCTACAGTTTTGTAGGCAAAGTGAACTTCTACTTAGTGCTAGCTAATTCATGGCAGCTACCTTTTAAAACGGCATGTGAACATGAACAGCCGTGAACTTGTAGATATTGGGAATTATTAAATACACTTTTTTAGAAATATAATACTGCCCATTCCTTACAAATAATTTTTTCTGTTCTGAAGTTCAGTCTGCAGCATAACACAAACAATGATTGAAATAAGTGTTAAAAAAGAAACACAAACAGATGGGAAATCAAGGGAGTGATAAACACAGTAAAGTAAATGGCATAGCCTAGATTCACCAGAGATAGCAACTGAGTAAGCCAAGAGAAGAAATCATCCCTCACTGCCCAGTGTTTTCCTTATTAAGAGTGTTGATGCTCTCCCATCTTTTAGAAGTGTTAAGTAGGACTTAGTAATATAATCCAGCCACCCCCAATCTTCTTTATGTATTCTGGCATCCATAGATATGATCTCAATGCATCTATGCACTTTGATTTACTATGAAATTTTATCAAGAAAACACATTACCTGAACATAACCTGATTTAATACACCCTTGATTTTACCAGTGCACTGTCTGCATGTATGTACAGGTAGATAAATAAATCACAGAATCATAGAATACTTTGTGTTGGAATGGACCTTCAGGGATCATCTAGTCTAACCCCCCTGCAATGAACAGGGACATCTTTAACTAGATCAGGTTGCTCAGAGCCACAACCAACCTGACCTTGAATGTTTCCACAGATGGGGCACCCACCACCTCTCTGAGCAACCTGTGCCAGTGTTTTACTACCTTATCATAAAATTTATATCTGGTCTAAATTGACCCTCTTTCAGTTTAAAACCATTACCCCTTGTCCTATCACAAGTCCTACTAGAAGGTTTGTCCCCATCTTTCTTGTAGGCCCTTTTCAAGTGCTGACAGGCTGCAATGATGTCTTCCTGAAGCCTTCTCTTCCCTAGGCTGAACAACCCCAGCTCTCTCAGTCTGTCTTCATAGGAGAGATGCTCCATCCCTCTAATCATCTTGGTGGCTCTGCTCTAGACTAGCTCCAACAGATACATGTCTTTCGTGTGCTGAGGATCCCAGAGCTGGACACAGCACTCCAGGTGGATCTCATCAGAGTGGATTAGAGAGGCAAAATCACTCTGCCTGCTGGCCACTCCTGTTTTGATGCAGCTCAGGACTCAACTGGCTTTCTGGGCTGCAAGTGCACATTGTCAGGTCATGTCTGGCTTTTCGTTCACCCTCAAGTCCTTCTCTTCAGGGCTTCTCTCAGTAAGTTCTTCTCCCAATCTGTATTTATGTCTGGGATTGCCCCAACCCAAGTGCAGCACTTGGCTGTGATAAATCTCAAGAGACTCCCATGGGCCCACTTTTTGAGCTTGTCCAGGTCCCTCTGGAAGGCATGCCACCTCTCAGGAGAGTCAACTGCACCACTCAGCTTAGTGTCATCTGCAAGTTTGCTGAGGGTGCACTCGATCCCGCTGTCTGTGTCACTGATTAAGATATTAAATAGCACTGGTCCCAACATGGGCCCCTAAGGGACCCCATTTGTCACTGATCTCCACCCCTTAAGCCATTGACCACTACCCTCTGGATGCGACCACAGACACAGGACTGGAAGGGATACTAAGCAGGTTTGCAGATGACACAAAACTGGGAGGAGCTGCTGACTCCGTTGAAGGCAGGGAGGTCCTGCAGAGAGACCTCAACAAATCAGAGGTCTGGGCAATTACCAAACAGATGAACTTCAACAAGTGCTGGATTCTGCACCTGGGATGGGGCAACCCAGGATGTATCCACAGACTGGGGAATGAGATGCTGGAAAGCAGTGCCAGGACCTGGGCGTCCTGGTCGATATCAAGTCAAATATGAGTCAGCAGTGCCCTGGCAGCCAGGAGGGCCAACCGTGTCCTGGGGGGCATCAGGCACAGCATTGCCAGCCGGTCAAGGGAGGGGATTGTCTCATTCTGCTCTGCACTGGTGCAACCTCACCTGGAATATTTTGTGCAGTTTTGGGCATACAATAGAAGAAAGATATTAAGCTCTTAGAGAGTGTCCGAAGGAGGGCAACGAAGATGGTAAAGGACCTTGAGGGGAAG